AACCTTCTCCCTCGTCTCTCTTCCATCTCGTTCTCACTTTCGTTGCTGTTGAGACAAAAGCCAACAAAACTTCTCATCTTCTCTTCCTCTTGATCCTTTGCTTCTCTCTTACTCTTTCTCACCCTTTCTATGATTAGATGCAAGGGAAGAGGAAGAAAGGAAACACACCGACGACGACAAAGATGGCGGCCCTAAGCGCAGATGATTAGGACGACGATGATGAACAGAGGTAAAAGGACAGTTTTTGTTTCTCTGCGTGCTGTATTTTAGGTGCCATTTCGACTTTGGGTGAGTTTCTCATAGATGTTTATTTTTTTATTCCTGCGTTTTTGGGGTTTCTGGGGAGAGGAGAAGGACCGAGCTCCGACGATGTTACCTCCGGCTAGGCACCAGTGACAGGGAGGTTAGCGATGACAACAGCAGCGACTCACTATCTGGGTAAAGATTTTTTTTATTTGTACTTGGTTTATTTGTGCGCTTTAGGCTTCTAACCTGTTTTGTTTTGAATGTTTGGCTTCTTGCTTCGATCAACGAAAGGAGGATAAGGGGAAGACGAAGGGAATCGGGGAGGACGTAAGTCGTCCGCTCTGCCGGCAACGATGTCATCAGCACCGGTGACAGTAGGGGTATTTATCCAGTCTTTCATTTCTCGGTTTGTTTTGTTAATTTAGATAGTGATTAAGCTCCTTTTGTAGGTTTTGGGGAATGGGAGATCTGGGTATATCCTTTCGATATTAATTGGGTAATTTTAGGGAGTTTAGACTAGAAAATGGGTTTTATCTTATGGATAGATTGAGTTTGAACATGTATGTCATTATAATATGTTAAGCTGGCCTATATTGATTAATGAGAATATTTTTATTAATCTGAGGTCATTGTGAATTCTGGGAGATTTAGCTTAGTGATGGTTAGGTGTGTAATCCAACATATGAAAACAAAAACAAGTAGAACGGACAAAGAAATAATAAATGATGAACAAAGATAGATTTATAGATCTAGTATTTTAGTAGGCTTAAACATGAAATATTTAAATGGAAGTAATGAGATAAATACAGAAGTATATAAAATGAACTCTTAAGGAAAAGCAATATATGATTTGTTGATTGCTTTTTTTATTATGGTGAGATTTGTCGACTTGTAATTTGCTTTGAAAGTCGATTGGGTTTGATTGCTGTTGGAGTTTTATCTGGGTCAGATTGTAATTTGATTGTGATTGATTGAGTTTGGTGCCTCTTTAAATCAATTTGGTCATTTGTAGTTTGATTGGGTTGATTGAGTTTTGGTTTTGAAAAGAACTTAATATGATGGTTTAAGATGATGAAATGACGAAGATGATAAAGATAATGGTTAGATTTTAGTTGGTGACCAACCTTTCTCCTTGTAGGTCATGAAAATTCTGACCTCCCTTTGTCGTCTCCTTCTTGGATTTTTTTGCTGCTGAAATTGGCAACAGTGGTAGAGTGTTTGGTGAGGGAATTTTGTAACTTCTTTTGGCTACTATTTGTGCAGGTTTTGATTAAGAAAACGAAAAAGGAGGAGGGAAGGAAGGAAACAAGTGTCAATAAGAAGGGGCTAGGGAATTTCATTTTATGTCTGTGTCTTTCAGTTGAGAAGAAAACAAGAGGAAGTAGAGTTTTTTCTTGCTCGTGGTGGTGGGGAGGAAGAAGAGGAAGCATTAGCTTTCGCAATGAAGAGGAAGAAGGAACTGACATGTTCCCTGTTCCTTTTTTCAAGCTTTTGGTGGTATGTGTATATCAAAAGCCAGCCAAAAGAAGAGTGAGCCGAGCCCCTGTTTAATAATAAAAGAGTTTTGATTGGCTTTTAGGGTGATAGGCGTTGGTGTATTTTTCTGATTGGTGCATGAGTGGGCTGAGCCTGTGCCTAGTGGAACCAGTCCGATTCAATGGGGTTTGGATCTGGCTAGGTTTGGATTTTTGGGTTTGGTTGACCGTGATACGGGCTTGACCCAACTTAGGCCTGTTAACTTGCATTTACATGAGTTGACTGCGGTTTGGGCTTGTCCTTGAGCCCAATTTCTTTTATTGTACAATTGTAATGAGAATGTAATAGCAAATTAACATTGTAATTATTATGGATTGTAATAATGATTTTAGTATTTAGCATTGTATTTATTTTAATAAAATTGTCCATTATAATTATTATGTATTGTAATAATGATTTTAGAATTTAGCATTGTATTTATCTTAATAAAATTTTCATGTCTTCTAATTTATTATTTAGAAATTGTGACCCAATTCTCACAAGGCCCAATGTCTTACGAATTTATTAACTTGCATGACAATCAAACTGAAGCCTAACTCGTCTAAACATGTCAACTCATCACTAATAGAATTTGTCAACTGAGATTTGCTATTGCTGATCTCATTAACTTATGGCAAACAAAGACCCAATCCAAGCACTATAAATACGTTTTTAGCTATAAGGTCATTTAAGATTTGCCAAACCTTAAATTGAGAGTAAATTTTATTTTATTAAAAATGTTTTAATTATGACAAAAAGTGGTGTCTAAATTATTATTAAGGGAGTTCATAGATTTAGTGATGGATTTGGATACCAAATCCAATTGATCATGGATTTGAGAGAAATTCATTGTTTGTTTACAATTTTATTTGGAACAAATTCACGGGGTCGTGAATTTTGAGGGACAACATGTATTTGTAAATCTATGAGATTTGGGACGATGGTTAGTTACTTTTACAGCCTCATTTCAACAACAAAAAGGCTTTATGTTTAGGGTAATAAGGTCATTTGTATTTAAAAGCAACAATTCAATAACAACAAAATCCACGACCAAATCCAACAAACAAACAACAAAATTTTCAAAATCCAACACAAATCCATGATTTTCTAAAATCTAGATTCTGACCAAAATTCTCATTTTTCAAATCCAACTAGCAAACAACACTTAAATAACAACAAAATCCACGACCCAATCCAACAAACAAACAACAAAAATTTCAAAATCCATCACAAATCCATGGTTTTCTAAAATCTAGATTCTGACCACAATTCTCACTTTTCAATTCCAACTAGTAAACAACCCTTAAATCCCAATGTTTATGTTGTTTGTTGATGAATGTCAAACTCATTGTGTCTATGACTTTGAATTTTTAAACAAATATGTGGACCCCCAAATTTGTAAATCATACAGAGTTGTAAATCTCACACCAATATCTCGGGTTTGGTTCGAGGAACCAAAATCTTAGTGAGCAATTACCTTCTTGTCCACTTGAAAATTCATTATTCCAGCTATGCTCTTGTCTGCGAAAATACTAGCATTTCTTTTCATAATTCCTTTAGTTCTTCAAACTGCGGTGGGTAATTAATGCTCAGTTATGCTTGCCCCAAGGTACTTATATCTTGGCGGATCTCCTCCTCTTATCAACTATCAGCCCTATATGCCAGGCGATTTAACTATTGTCCCATCCGAGGTAGGCTGCCCACCTACTTACCTACCAGAGCGGTCCTTTTTCTCCCCTTGATGGACTGGGTTGCCTGATACTTCTATTGGGACTTGAAGCCCAATACCGCTCAACATGTGGCCCAACAAATGCCCTTCAGGTGTAAAAAGTTTCGGATTTTGGCAGCTAACTGAGTAATCTTTCTGCGTGTTGAGATGCTTGTCCTTCTTAACACGACCCTCCCATGTGCCCCTGGTCGGCCAAAAAAACATAGATGACACGCCTAAGGGTCGTACGCCCAACCTCCAACGCGTCTAATGATCTTCTTATTTCAATGTCTCCTATTGTGGGGTGCAGTAGCTCTTTGTGAAGTGATCTTACTTTTTTTCATTGAAAGGAGGTAGCAAGCGTCTAGATTACAATAGTCGAGGGCTAATTACTCCATAAGCAGCAAAACCGAGGAGATGAAGAAGAGTCACCTAACTGAAACACAGGAAACATGTGTATGGTGCACTTGTGTGGGAAAGTTGATCCCACAACGTCCTCAAGACAAATCCTATCAAGCTCTAGTGGGAGATAGTCAAGCTCATGGTTCATTGCACAATCTGCGGTGTGAACCGGGCTAACCACCAATTCCTTTGCTAAAATTCGCCGTATTGCTCCATGGATCATTTCATAGGGGTGCACATTGTCGCTTATCTTCTCAATCAGTTGCAGAGCTAGCTGGTGGAATATGTATCCATAATGAGAAATTGAGTGTTTTATTCAAGCAAGCTCCAACCCTTGAAGAATCCCCCAAAGCTCTGTCAGTAGGGTGTTCTCGTCCCTAGTTTACTGCAGAAACATCTGAGTCAATCCCCATTAAGGTCTCATAATACACCTCCCACCATAACGTACCATTCCCAGGTTGCTTTGAGCGGCCCCATCCGTATTGAGCTTGTACCATCCAACTGGAAGTTTTTCTACATCTAATTAAAGCTTTCACTCAGCTAGAATGTGTGATTCCCCCGAGAATATGGATTTAAATAGATTGGATTGATTGGATACATGTGTATTTATTAAATTATGTAAAGGGATTAAACTCGAGTTTGAGAGCAGATGTTGAAGATTATTGATTTTCTACACTTCCAAGTTTTATCCAACCAACCATGCCCTCCCATATCAATTGATTTGAATTCTTCCCAGAAATGGAGCGCGTTTCGGACAACAGAAATACATGCGTTACACATTATAGGAGAAGCCATGTATATATATCACAATAGTAGAGAATACTAGGGGTAACAATTTAGTGATAATAATATGGTTTTGTTGTGTTTGTTTTTGCTTGAGTGTGGGGAGCCATCATGTATCAGGGCGGGCTTCACTGATGGAACCATAACCACGTCCAGGCCCCAGCCCATGAAGAGAAGGACGTCCGCGCGGCAGCCCAAGCCCAGTAGTCATTATGACGATTATTATTATTGATTATTATTAGTATGTTGATTATTATTAATTGTACATAAACACTATTTATAGATGGGAATGAAATAGAGAAGGTATCAATTACCCCAACAAAAACCTAAAGGCTTCTTTCTGCGCCTAGCAAACCCTTGGAACGTGGGTTATGTTCCCATCAAATTGGTATCAGAGCCATGATCGCAAACGTGGGAGCTTGTGCCAAAGCTTATACGGCGGCGACAAAGAGCACGACGTCGGCATGTCTCGACATGATGATGGAGATTCGGGCCCTCAAACGACAGTTGACCGGCTGGCTGAACGAGCCGGAACCCGAGCTCGTCGACGACGATGGTTCGGCCGGTGAGCAGGTGGAGTTGTCTCTCAACGCAGCGGCGGGAATCGACGGCCCTCGAACCCTCCAATTTCGCGCGCAGGTAGCGGATGTGCAGGCAGTTCTACTGGTCGATAGTAGATCGACTCATAATTTTATTTCTGAGCAAAAAGCTGAGGAGAAGCGGTTGTGCATCGCATCCATAGAACCATTCTTGGTAGGGATAGCGAATGGCGAGCCGATGCGTTGTCGGGGCAGGTGTAACGATGTGCAGGTCGTGATTCAAGGCGAAGAGTTCGCCGTCTCCTTGTACATCCTGCCGATTCGAGGGATGGATATGGTCTTTGGCGTTCAATGGCTAGCCGATCTCGGCCCGATTACGTGCGATTGGGGAGCTTTAACCATGAAATTTAAATGGAGGGATAAGGAGTTTTCGCTGCAGGGCATCCATCCACGCCGCATGACGGCCTCGGCAGCCGAAATCGTGCACGAGGACGGAGTTGTCTGGGCACTTTGCTGGGCACTTTAGGCCGCGGAGATCGAACCCCTCCCACCTGAGTTACGCGAGCTGGTGCACGAGTTCGAGGCGGTGTTCGAAGTTCCCTCCACTTGCCGCCTAGTAGCGACGTTGACCATCGCATCAAATTGAAAGATGGGGATGATGCGGTCAATATCTGGCCTTATCGTTATGCATACCATCAGAAGGCCGAAATTGAGAAGCAAGTGGAGGAAATGTTGGCGGCAGGGTTAATCCGACCTAGCCTAAGCCCGTTCTCGTCTTCGGTACTCTTGGTGAAGAAAAGGACATGACATGGCGTTTCTGCACCCATTATAGGGCTCTGAACGAAGTAACCATAAAAGATTGGTACCCTATTCCTACAGTGGAGGATATGTTGGATGAACTCCATGGCGCGCGTTTCTTTACTCGGCTCGATCTGCGAGCAGGTTGCCACCAAATTCGTATGCACGAGGAGGATGCCCATAAGACGGCATTTAGAACGCATAACGGTCATTATGAATACCTGTTATGCCCTATGTACTCTGCAACGCACCATCAACCATTCAGGCGGCCATGAATGATCTGTTTTGCAGCGTTTTACGTCGGTACGTACTGGTTTTCTTTGATGATATTCTAATTTATAGTTCGACCTGGCAGGATCACATGCAGCACGTGCGCGATACCCTCACCATCCTAGCACGCCATCAGCATTTGGGCCATTTTATATCGGATCTCGGCGTCCGCGTCAACCCTGGCAAAATCGAAGCCATGGTCGCTTGGCCCCAGCCGAAGAATGTCACTGAGCTGCTTGGTTTCCTCGGATTAATAGGGTAATATCGGAAATTTCTGAGGAATTATGGCCATATCGCGAAACCATTGACCGAGCTATTGAAGAAAGGTGGATTTCAGTGGAATGCAGCAGCCAGTCAAGCCTTCGCCGATCTTAAACAGGCCATGGTGTCAACTCCAGTCCTTGTTATACCGAATTTTGACATCCCATTTGTGATCGAGGCCAATGCTTCGGGAAAGGAATTGGGGTCGTGTTGTCACAGGGAGGGCGACCGATTGCATTCATGAGTAAGACCTTGGGGCCGGCCAAAGAAGTTTGGTCCACGTATAAAAAAGAAATGCACACCATCATTACTGTCGTTCAAACCTGGCGTCCGTACCTGTTGGGCCAGAAGTTTCATATTTATACAGATCAGAAGAGTTTGAAGTATCTATTGGAACAGTGGATTGCGACTCCGGATCAACATAAATGGGTAAGTAATTTGCTTGGATTTGAGTACGAGATTCATTACCAGTCGGGCACCAGCAATCGGGCAGCCGATGTCCTATCCCGAGTAGCTACAGGCGTCGCTGTGGGATGAGTTAAGGGCGGTGGTGTTGGTTAATCCGTACTTGCAGTCAATGAGGGAGAAGGCTCTCTCTACTGATCCTGGCAACTTCACTTTCCGAACTGGACTGGTTTTTTTATCGCGGACGAGTGTTTCTTTCCCCGCTATCCAGCTTGGTGACTACTGTACTTCAGGAATTCCATGATGGGCCGATGGGTGGCCATTCCTGCGTTCGCTGCATCATGGCTCGACTTTCCAGACATTTCTATTGGTCGCAGATGAGACAGGCGGTACATGATTATATCGCGAGCTGTGACACGTGCCAGCGTGTTAAGACGGATTCTTTGTCACTCGCATGATTGTTACAGCCGTTGCCCATTCCCTGTCGAGTTTGGGAAGATATTTCCGTGGAATTTGTTGAAGGGTTGCCATTTTCTGGGGGTCACTCGGTTTTGTTTGTCGTAGTGGACCGACTGACCAAGTATGGTCATTTTATGTCACTCAGTCACCCATTTTCGGCCTGACGGGTGGTGGAGGAGTTTATCAATGGCGGGTTCGCCATCATGGCATGCTCGCCTCGATTGTCTCTGATCGCGATGCTCTATTCCTTAGTACTTTCTGGAAGGAATTCTTTGCTCACACTGGTACCCGCATTCACATTAGCACTGCCTATCATCCCCAGTCAGGTGGCCAGACCGAGGTAGTTAATCTATGCCTAGAATAGTATTTACATTGTTTTGCCCATTCTCAGCCTCGCCGATGGCACATGTTCCTACCGTGGGCCAAACTTTGGTATAATACGTCATTCCATCGATCGGCATCTCTCCGTTCAAGGCTCTGTATGGCCGAGAGGCCCCTAGCATCATTCCTTGTGAGGAAGCCGATAGTGGAGTCGGGGCAGTCAATCAACTTTTATGTACTAGAGATGATATTTTGCAGCAGCTTAAGACGACGTTGGAGGCGGCTAATGCCCATAATAAGCAGTTGGCGGACATGAAGCGGCTGGATCTTCAGTTCGAGGTGAGTGATCTAGTTCTCTTGTGCTTGCAGACGTACCAACAGGACTCTTTGTTCCTGGTACTTCTCAAAAATTGGCGGCTCGGTATTTTGGTCCTTATCCCGTGGAAGCACGCGTGGGCGCTGTGGCCTATTGATTGACGTTACCGGATGGGGTACGTATTCACCCAGTTTTTCATGTCTCACTACTTAAACCATACAAGGGCACTCTCCCTACGGCCGAGACCACGCCATTACCGGTAAATGATGATGGGGAGCTACAAGTTCAGCCGGCGGAGGTGCTTAACCATCGTTGGGTGCCCCAAGGTGGAACGTTCGTGGAAGAGTGTTTAGTGCGCTGGGACGCATTGCCAGGGGAGGATGCGACGTGGGAACTTCGGACGAGGCTCAAGGAGCGTTTCCCCAGTTTCGACCTTGAGGGCAAGGTCGCTCTTCCGGAGGGGAGCAATGGAACCATGACCACGTCCAGGCCCCAGCCCATGCAGAGAAGGACGTCCGCGGGGCAGCCCAAGCCCAGTAGTCGTTATGACGGTGATTATTATTGATTATTGTTAGTACGTTGATTATTATTAATTGTACGCAAACACTATTTACAGATGGGAATGGAATAGAGAAGGTATATATCAATTACCCCAACAAAACCCTAAGGCTTCTTTCTGCGCCTAGCAGGAAACAAACCCTTGGAACGTGAATTACGTTCCCATCATTCTCCCTCCCCTGTCCTGCCTTTTTTCTCGTTTTCTCCCTGCTTTGTCTCCTTTTTCTATTTTTTTATTACTGTCATTTCCCCTTTTCTAATTAATAATATTATATCATCCTTATAAAAAAAAATAATGATGACCAACGGCCTTTATAAGTTTAAGCGACAACGAAGTCGAAAAATGAAGCTTTCACAGACAATCACATCACTTGCAAAAGAGGAACATACTCAACATAGGGAGATTACAAAGTTAGCCCACAATAGTAGTACTAATGGGAAAATACTTGATTGTCCTTTTCTCTCGAAAGGCTGAAGAAAGAGCAAAGACAATGTCGAGTATCTCCACTGCGTTTTTTCATTATACTTCACAACACTTGTTCTTATATATGCATTTGCCATTTGGTGCCATACACCTGCACAAGATATGCCCTTCTTACAGACTTTGTAAGACAGAGCAGAAATGGCTTCCCTTACTTCTCCATTGGAGCACTAGCACTGAACTGCCAAATGAAAATCACTCAAACTTAGAGATGATAAATGCAAAGGGTCTATAGTTATGATGGAAGGGAGAGACATGGCTTCTCTTACACCAACTGAAGTGCAATGTGGTCTTGTTGAGGGTAATGGTTGGTGGGCTGTAAAGCATTGACTTGGAAGTAGTTTCGAGAGTCGAACTGCTGGTGAGGCTGCACGATCTCGTAGCTGCTACTCCCTCCTGGCATCAAGCTCATGCTCTGCTGCTTCCTTTCATTCTCAGCAATCTGCAATACAACAATTCCACCGTTAGTGCACAAACTCACAACTCAGTCATATACAATGACTCCATTGGGAATTCACATATTAAGAGTTTAGTCAATATTGGAAGTACACATGAAATCAAGAGCTAAAGTTGATACCTTTGTACGAAGAAGCTGGTTATTGTTGTGCAAATCAATTTCCTGCATCATTTAATTTGCAAAAATTCGTTAGCTAAGAGACTAAGGAAATTTGAACACTAAGGTGGTTTTGCTAAATCTGCTCACAAATTGGCACCCCTATTCCAAAATTGCAACATTAGGGCTCAGAATCTAATACTCATAGATGAAAAATTAAGCAAAAAAGAGAGTTACCCTTTTCTGCATATACTCTATCTCTGCGAATAGCAGCTCATTCTGATGGGGAGAAGAAAATTTGGAAGAGTCAGGAAGAGCTACAAATACAGTGCTGAAGCCTGAAACGAGATGAGAGAAGTACTGTGGTAGCAAAACCAAAAGAAAGGCACCTTTTTGGAACGGATTCTGCTGATTCCTTTCTCTAGTTTGCTCTCCAAGTTCTTGAGCTCCTTGGCATTCAGGCCTCCAAGTGACTCACCAAGCATGTGTCTAGAAGAAGAGCCACAGTTGTTTGCCAACATAGCAAGATTCCTGTTAAAAGCCTTAAAGACCTGTTCTACATATATTCACAGCTTGTCATTCAAGAATTACCTGTTTGCGTTAAGCAAGTTGCCAATTTGCTGCCGCAGTTTGGCGGCTTCTTGTTGGTAGTACTGAAACAAACCATTTTGGATAAAGAGTTGGGAACATTGTCGAAAAAGTTAGTACTGCTGGTGTGAAAATAGACAACTATGGAGAACAAACAAAAGTATCAATATCTAACCAGGAGTCTAAACCATGAATTTTCTGTTTCGGGTAAAAGTAAAACCTTAAACCCTAACAGCCAAAAAAGTTTGGTTCTTGACCTAGAATAGTTACAATCAGTCACAATCAACATCGTTTTCTTTTAGGCAAATCAATCAGTAGCCAGTCAAGATGTTTCAAGGGACACAGACTATGGAAGGCTGATGGGAAGGGCAAGCCACATTTCCCAATGAGTAAAATACCTTGTTTCTTTTTTTGTTGAATACTCAAGGACGCATCGAGCCTTTAATGTATAGAAGTAGTTTCTAACAGTAGTTGTTAGATAAGAACAGTGAATTGAAGACAGTTAAGCAGTAGGTAATAGTAAGAAATGGTTAACAAAGTCTTCACTTGTTTGTCTAGGTTACACGTTCGTTATATCGACCTCGACGAGTCAATGCAATAATAATGCAAGCAACAACAGGTTTTATTACGGGACAGCTCATGATGTTTCTATCGATCTATACAATAAAGACCCCCTACAAAAAACATACTTTGTATACCTGAGCATTGGCCTCAGCAACAGATCCAGTGTTTGTAGCGTCTGAATTGGCCTTCTTGTACCTTTCAATTGTGGCTTTAACACTGCATCACAACCACAACAAACATTAGCATCAGTATTATTTATGAATTAAACTAAATGGAGCACATTACAGCAGCAATTATCTTAATCATGCCATGAAAGCAATCTTAAGAATTGCAGGACGTTTGGGAAGTAGTGACAAGTGAACTGAATGGACCACATACATCTCTTGCAAAAACAAAAAAACTTGACTTATTTAGACTCAAATGATTATCAACCAAACATGGGACATCTAATGTCATGATAATGTGCATGATTAAGATCAGGAAATAAGATCAATGAATGCCCCACAGCACCACCCAATGAACCATTAACACTACTTCCACTTGCTAGCAATCGTTAGTTTCCTTAATCGTGTTATTGATCATTCGAATCCATTAGAAACCAATAGATACAAAGCTCAAACAATTGATCGAAATGAGGAATATAAATAAAAAATTTCTCAACTTATAAAAGCATAAACAAATTTGTTTTCGCTTCTTCAAACAAGTTATCAGAGAGCTACCTCACCATGTATAAGTCAAACTGAATCCCTAAATGAAATGCTAAAGACACGAATTTATACCAACCTATTGTCGCGACTAGTGCCACTTTTATTTTTGTGAAAGACTAATAGATATCTAGTCTATAATCCTTAATGTTAATAATTTATAATTGCAAAAATGAACTTTACCAAATTATGGTTGGATTGACTTGGTTTTGAAGGCAGAAGAGGTGACATGACATGTTCACTCATCCTACTAGGAAAAGTGATGTAATAAAATAGTCAAATCAAATAAACCCACTCTCCAAAAACTGGCGAAGATGATCCTAATACGAAACCCATTTTAGGTTAGGGTAACAGGATATTGAATGTCCCAAAAACCCACTTGCCCTCTAGTCAGAAGGAACTGAATTTCACTGACTTTAAAAACCTTGACAGGAATATAGCATTATTTTAATGGGATAACGAATACTTAGAAGAAGGGTTGAAAATCCATTCACGTCAAAACCGAAAAGACCCCTTCTTTCATAGGGCAGCTGCCCTGATACCTTAACTTCCTCGAGCAACTGATTGGCTGCCGCGTGCCAGCTCGGCAATGTCATACTAAAACGTGACTGGTTGGACCTCATCAACGGTCGGCCATAACTCAACGTGTCACGAACCCATTACCCGGAGGGTAATCCCCTAAACCCACAGCCTTAATACCCACCTCAAACAAAACTAATCAATCCCATCCCACCCATTTAAGCCCTTTGCCAGTGCACCAACTGACGAACCGAGAGAGACAACAGAAAAGGGTAATTTCCTTTTATTTTTCTTTTCTAATTTGTAGATCAAATCATAGCCGTCCAAAATAGCACCAGGGCTATAGTTGAACGTAGAAAAAACCATAAAAGAAAAAAAAAAAAAAAACAGAAAACCCTTCATCGGCTCCCCTCAGCTGTCGTACGGCTTGTTTCCTGTCTTCTCTCTGCTGCTCTGCTGCAAAACTTCACCTTTCTAGTATTTCTCTCTTCTCAAAAATCAAAACCCTCTAGCCCAGAAGAAGGGTTGCATAAACTGGATCTAATAGTAAGATCTTTCGATGGAAGCGACCGCAGAGAGTTGTTTTACATTAATGGCCAAACAGTGCCATCATCATCATGATCTTGTGTACACGAGAAGCCCCTAACCAGAGAATCTAAACTTGTGAGGAGAAGATCAACTGGTCCAACCCCTTCCAACATTTGCAGCACCCCATTTTCTCGAATTTACAGAGATTTAGGGTTTGGGGAAATATGACACCACTCAAATTTTAACTCTAGCTACCAGAAGTGTGTCAGAAGTCAAGGAAGGAACTGCAAAATCGCGCGGTGACGTGACCAAAGATTCCTTTTTGCTAAAGAACCCACCCAGAAAGAAAAAAACCCACCATCACTCCTTAACTGAAACCCACTCCCGGAAAAGCTATCCGCCTGATTCAAGATTCAAGAACAAACCCAGTTACCCTTTCTTCTCAGTAGAAGGGATAAAAAAGAACTTTTCTTTTGATTTTATGGGTATCTGAATTTTGATTGGTGGGTGATGAGAGAGAGAAAGAATAAAGGTTATATGTATGATATGCCCCTCTATGTTGAAACAATATTTGTGAACTATATGAATTTATTTTAACAATAACGAATTTGTCATTCGTAGAAATGATTTTATTTTAGTTACATGGTTATATTAGTTGTGATTAGTTAACAGTTCTTTATACTATATCCTTTCTCAGATCAAACGAAATCTCTAAAATTGAATCGAGTGTGCTGACTCCAAGATTCAAACTCAACTTAAGGCACTTTATATGTGTTTATGCCTAATTAGTGATTGAGTTGGGGTGCCATGGTTGAGATAGAATTTTTTTGTGTATAATATTGTATAGTTCAAATTAGGGTGTAAGCCTTATAACCTTAGGGTTTTCTATTCTCTTCAGTTTTATATAGGTTTGGCTTGATTGACACCCTATTATTGACAAGTTTCTGTTTCCTTGACGAGAGTTACTGACAAGGGTTTCCTCCTTTCATTTTTTACCATTGACATGATCTGTACTTCCTTTCCCTTCCTCTCTTTGATGTGTGGAGAAGAAAGAAACTGACGTGCTACTAAGGAAGTGTCAAACACGACCTCACTCAAAAGGGGCTTTCCCAATCTAATGAAGGAGGAAGCATGACACCATCCATAGCCTCCATTTCTTTCCTTGCCTCTCTCTCACACAAACTCACAGTGAAGAAAGAAATATCGACAGTAAGAAAGAGGCTGTCTTCATACCCCTCATTTCACTCTTAGAGAGAAGAAGCAAAACTGTAACAGAAACACAATGCAGCTATGAGAATTCCCAAAAAAAAGGGGGGGGGGGGGGGGGGGGGGGGGGGAAATTTTAACAGAAGTGAGAGATGAGAATGAGAAGACTCACTGCCCCTCATAGATTCCAACTTCTTTTATTACACCATTTCTTTGTTTTTCCTTCTCTATGCTTACCACAATTTCTTACAGCACTAGAAAGTAGAAATTGAGATTTTGAATACAAGGGGTAAAAAGGATAAATAAAATGGGTAGCTATTTCCATGTCTCACCCACACGCCAGATCTACTATGTCATCTAACCGCACACCCTCAGAATTTCACTTCCAGCTCAAACCCAATACCCACTTTGAGCTTATAAAGGAAAACGGAAAGCTAAACAACACGACTGCAAACTTGAAAGGAAGAACTGATTCGTCTTGGTTTGCAGGTGAAAGTAAGCAAGGTAATTGCATAAAAAAGAAATGGTTGGAAAATTAAGAATAAAACAAGGACAGACACTCTCAATCTATCGAGCAAAACAAAATCAAGAAAAAAAGGTTCAAGAATTAAGTGGAAATGAAATAGAGAAAAGGTGGTTGTTCTCATGCTTCAAATCCAGCCAAGATCTGGTTCTGAATCAACAAAAATTAAAACTTTCACTTACTAGGTAATAAGCCAAACATTTCCCCTCCTAACCCTTGATTTTATTTATGCAGGCAATCATTTGAAGAGGGGTAAAAAAAGAAAAGAAACTTATAAAGCGCTAAGAAATGAGGGCTGAAATTAACATGCCCTTCAAGAAGAGAGAACAAATAAAGGGTAATGGAAGACCAAAGTAAAATATTAAGAAAAAAGTGAATGAAGGGTTTTCGTTTCCTTTTGTCATAGATCGGCAGTAAATTAAGTATAAAACAAGCACCGTGATTGAATTTCCCGAGATGGAGAAGGGAAGGCAACCAAGATACACAAGATTTTATTTCAATTATTATTACCTGTTGTTGGAATACTCATAGAGGCGGCCACGGCTGGAGAAGACAATAAGAGCAACCTCGGCATCACAAAGCACAGACAGTTCATATGCCTTCTTCAGCAGACCACTCCTCCTCTTGCAGAAAGTGACCTGCCTGTTAGTTGTGTTCTCGATCCGCTTGATCTCGATCTTCCCTCTCCCTATCTTCCTCGTTGGCGAATCCTCCCTCGAATCGCTATGGTAACCGGCCATCGAATATCCCCAATTCACCTGCAGCTTACCCTTTTGTTATACATCCAAAAACCACACAGTAGCCCATCACTGAGTCAATAAAAAAACAATGAAAGGCAGCTGTAGAATCACACAACCCCACCAAACCCATGTTGCCAAATCGCCTAAAGCTTCAAACTTTGGAGAGATTTGGATGATAAAATGGAAGGGGAGGAAAAATTAGTTATATGGATATTATGGTGTAGAGGTTGCCAAAATGGTGAAAATCAAAAGCTCCACACAAACTAGCTAGTTGATTAGTTCCTCAAGTAACCATATGTAAAAAGGGAAAGTAATTAGTTTTAGTATTAGGTTGGGAATTAAGGGAGATGAGATTACTGCAGGGGTTGGAAATGTGAAAGAGATTGGTGAAACCCCAAAACAAGTGAAGCAATGACCTAGATTGTGGGAAATTATGTCTCAAATGTTTTAGGTAAGTTGAAATTTTTTACCTTTTGGAGGAAAAATGAAACCCCCAAGGAGATGAGAGCAAAGAGAAAGGGATGTTGGATTTGGGAGTAAGGGGGAAGAGGGGCAAGATTTTGGCTGGTGGGTGGGAAGGATGGATATATGATGATAGGTAATTAATTTAAGGGTATCTTCTTTTGCTCTATTTGGCTTAAGGGGTGTGAGAGAGATGAGAGTGGAGAGCTTTGAGGTTTCTTCTCTCTTCCTGCTAACAATCTCTGCGTGTAAAGAAGGAGGATGAGAAAGAGATGCAGAAAATGGAAGCAACGAAGGAGATAAGAGGAGAGGGTCTATTTATAAAGTAAACAATGACCTTTCATCCCCACCTGCACACCCCCAAACATTGAAACACAAAATTATTTCCTTGATATCAATTTATATTATTTTTGTCTTGTCTAATTGGTTTATATTAGTTCAGTGTTTAGTGTTTACTCTCTCCTAATTAAGTTAATTCCTTTTCTTACTTTATCTCGTGAGTGTGATTTTAGGTTCTTTTTCATCTTTCGATTATTGAGTGGTGTATGTGTTGAAGAACAACATGCTTGAAAAGGGTCATAAGCTGGATACTAGTTCTGTTATTCGGCCCTTAAAGATTGAAAACTGGAGCTCTTCAAGAATCAATCCCTTCTATGCTTTATGCTAAGACAGCAATACCTTCTCTGCCTTCCCCGTAAAATAGTTATTCTGAATGTGTTTTAACCCATTAGAAGTTATGATATCTTTGTCTTTGGGAAATTTGCAATTTGGTAATTAAGATATTGCTTAGGAGAAGGTTGTCAAACAGATTTATACTATTGCAATGATTTAACAAGTGGTATGATCCAGTTGGGGTATAATCAGTTTATATATTAGCTTGTATCGTTTTCACCAAAACGTACGAGGAAGTGGGAAATAGTTAACACCAAATAAATTTTGCATTTTTATAATCCGTCTTAAGACATTTGACATATAATATGCGTCCATATTTAAGTAAATAACATCACTATATGATGTTGGTATGAGGTCTTATGTATGATAAAACATAATAAAATGAATATTATTACATAGATCTTAATTAATGATGGTGTGTATAATAGTGATATATGTTAGTATGAGGTTTTACGTTTGACAAAATAATTTGATAACTTCATATCAGTATTATACCAATTTGTAAGCTGGTATAATATATTATGATATGATACTAATATGAAGCTGGTATAAGGTCTAATTTGTGATAAAAACAATAACAAAATGGATATCAATTTGTGAATGTTACGTAATGTGTTCTTTTTATACAATATCTTTTAATTTTTCAGTTAAAATGAAGGAGATGTATCATAATGCCACTGTCATATCATGATGATATTATAGTGGTAATACAATAATCGACACGTGTTTTGAAGAATTCATTTTTTTCGTTTCTTAAACTATAGCAAAATAGATATAATTAATGTGTAGATCATGAATTCATGATTAATGTAATCTTTCTATAAAAAAATCCAAATTCCAACTTAAAACGAATGCTATAGGGTCATATTAAGAAAAATAGGGATTTGAAAACATAATCTCTCTTCTTCTCTAATCCGTGTCAGACAGTGAAAAATAAATCAGAGGGGTGACGGAATTACCGTCCACTCCTCTTACTTTTTTGTATGAAATTAATATAGACTATTAAATAGAGAGTGAAATGGAGAGTGGGTGATGAGTTTTTGTACAAGTTTTGTTGGATAGGGTTCCATAAAAAACTAATAAAAGACAATACATAAATTAATAATATTTAGTTGTCGGCTCAATCGACCCATGAGATCGCAGCTGAAGTTGGTCTCGTAACATATTCTTGACCATCTTTTTTTGAAAGGTTAATTTAGATTGCAAATCAGTCAAGTCGAGAGGAAAAAGTACGTAAACAACGTACAAACATTGCACACCCAAGGACCAATGATCAAGACCCAACAACCGACTCGAGACCCAATAGGCCCTAGTCAAAGCCCAACCCGAGTCCTGATAAAAAATCCTAGCTTCCTAAGGTTTGACCATGAAACCGTCACCGCCGCTGGCATCACCTAGCAAACCTTCCTTTCACAACCACAAGCCATGGACGACGACCAAGCATCAAGAAAGGCAAGTCAGCGTCAACCACCTCAAATGGAGGACAACGAGAGCAGCATGCAAAGCCCCCAACAAACGCCTCGTCGGATCAAACTCCAGTAGCTCTCCACTGACAAAATCAAAGCAAGCAACTTCTGGTCGAGAGAGCGGTCGGTGACAGGCCATGGTGGTGTCCTTCTATCCTTAAGATCTTCCCTCTGAGGCCATAGCTGAGAGCCACATCTCTGGACCAACAAAATCTACATGGTGAAACAAGGAGGTAGATGAAGGAAGAGACGAGGAGAAGACAAGCCGAAATCAAAGAGATCTTACCTCCTTTGCATCTAAGTTCAGCAGCATATCCAGATCGAACATATCAAATCAGAGGATAAAATTCCAAACCCAATTAAGGGGAGGAAAGACACCCACAAAGTGGAAGAACAAAGTCGATCCATGACTGGAAAATGCAAAATCAAAGAGAGGGGGAATAAGGAAAAAATGACATGAAACTGGAAAAGAGAAGAAAGAAACAAAAAAGGGGGGAACAGTGAGGAAGGATGGGTTGCCGACAGTCTCCAAGAAGTGTCGATGATGCCCTTTCAACTTTCACGGGTTAAAGCAAGAGATAAGGGAGAGGAAAAGAAAGATAGAGAGAGAAGGGACAACGTCTTCAGTAATGTCCAACAGTTATATCCTTGCTCGTCTTGCTACATAGATAAGCTATTGTGCTGGGGGAAGGCGGATGACTCTTGAGTTTTCTGCTCTTTCTTAAGTGCTGTGGGTAAGGCTACAATGAAGGAATATCATTACACATTCTGGTTTTGAGTTTGAGGGATCTTAGATAGCTTAAATTGTGCTTGTCTTTAGCCTTGTCGTTAATTGATTGAATTTAAGGTGTCAAATAGATTGAATTCATGATTTTTTTCGTCAAATATATTGAATTCATGAATTGGTAGATTAGTGTATTCATGAGTTTGGATCAAATGGATTGATGGATTCACTACTTAGATCAACTGGATTTATGGATTGGCTTCATGCATCCAAATTATATCTAAACATTTGACCAATATGAAAAAATTTAAAATTTGAAGTACTAAAATATCATAATAAAAATTTACGAACCAAAACTTAGTTTTTCAATGATATTTTCACTTGGATTTTAAATAAACTTGAAAAAATAGAATGAGTTTGTTATGATCTAAAAAAATTCAATATATTTCGAGAGAAAACATTTTGTACCACTCATACCACTAATTACCACCCTATTGCGACATTGTATCACTCTGTATCACCTTTGTTTTCACTCAAAATATAAAAAAATTACATTGAAGGAACAAGTTCATTGTGATCTACTGAATCACATATTTCTGAGTAAAAACATCTCAGGACCAAATATATCACCCTAGTATATGGTGGTAACTGGTGATATACGTTGATAAAAGATGGTAATTGATAAATGACGATTAGTATATTCCTACTATTATGTATACAATCATTCTACATTATGTTATACCCATACCACCATGGTACACTGCTATACCACCATGGTATAACCTTATGTACTATCTAGCATTATCGCTAGAACATAGACTAGTAATATAAGTCTCAATATTTTTTATTCAAAAATATTTCAAATTGGATGTCAATTTAAAAAACACATTTTATCTGATGTTTGTGCAAAAAAAAAAAATTTTGAATTACAACTTCAAATGAAAAAGATATGATCCACTAAATTAAATTATGGGAGAAATTAATTGTCTTCCATAAATGATGTTATTCATGATTATGAATGGAAAGCACTTACATCCGTGCAGGTTTTTGTCAGAGGTTTGCGCGTATCCACAACTATCCGATCCTAGGTCAAGTTTAACGTAAAACGTTGTTGTCATATAGTGGTAATGAAGATCGTATTCTAACCGAGTCCTATTACCCTATCCTACTTCCCACCTAGTTGCTAAATAGTTAATCGGTTTTTAAGGTTTTGAATGGAGGATATGAGTAAACTCGAGTCTAAAGATTATCAAAGCTAAAAGTAGGTACTTGAGGGACTAATCCTCCCCTTAGCTTAGGGTCACTATGCATATATAGATATCTAGGGTCATCGAATGTGGTAAGTGAGCTCTTTTCCGTGGGCCTTCGTCGTTATCCACACACCTCCGAGTATGCCTCCCCTAAACCCATGTTCCAATCACCTCGATCTAGGCTATCATATATAGGGCATTAAGTTTATGGCTAATTTCAATGGACACTATCCACCGTCCAGATCGAGGTTTTATCCCGGTTTTCACCTAGGAAAGCCACCTATAGCAGGGGTACGGTCGCATTGACCACTATAGGCCCCCATTCACACATCTAACTTAAACTCGCCAGATGGCGCATACCCGTCTAACCCTAGAACTCCATAGCCAGCGCAGTAGCATAAAGCAGACTAAGAGGAAAGATTTGGG